GTCGCCACTCTAAGGGGTTTGGGTTTTCTTATTCGTTTCCTTGTTCTCGCCGTGTCGTCATCAAAATAATGCAATGCAAAGTTCAATATTTTCTTTGTATTTTTTTGTTCAATTATTCCGGTTATCCGTGATCTTCCACCCCGTCTGGCTTCACCAGCCTGAATATGATTGTCTTAGGAAGTCTTAGGTTACTGAAAGTAATCGTCTCCGTTTCCAGGTTCAGCCCTATGTGAAAACGAGCTTGTCTCCAGGCTCCGGCGTGGTCACGTATTATTTAACGGAATCTGGAGTGATTCCTCCTCTGGAACAGCTGGGATTCAACATAGTGGGATATGGATGCATGACGTGCATAGGGAATAGCGGAGGTCAGAGCTAGAAATGTCCTGTTGACCTGCGGATTTGCTGAGAATTTGATTAACATTCGCAGGGCTGGACGAAAATATCGTAAACGCCATTGAAAGCAACGACTTGGTTTGTTGCGGTGTCCTTTCGGGAAATCGCAACTTTGAAGGACGAATCCACCCAAATACCAGAGCCAACTATTTGGCCAGTCCACTCTTGGTGATTGCTTATGCCATTGCTGGACGAGTGGATATCGACTTTGAGACCGAACCGTTGGGTAAATTCGCTTGATTTAATGTACTCCTGCTCAAGTAACCAGCTTTGGTTGTAAAGCCAAACGAGCCGACGGCAGCGTGGTGTTCCTAAGGGACATCTGGCCGACCAGGGCGGAGATTCATGAAGTGGAACGCACCTACGTGATTCCTGCCATGTTCAAGGAGGTCTATTCCCGGATCGAGACCGGATCGGGCATGTGGCAGACTCTGGATGCACCTGCAGGTATTTTCAATAGAGCGTAGTATTTCTTATGCGAATTTGACCGAAAATGCGTAGAATATTGGGGCCACCGCTTAAGGGTGCACAGTCTAACAAAATCGAAAGTTAATTTTTTTAAAATATTGCAGGCCAATGAGCTATAATCGGGTTAATCAGCGATCGTAATTTGCGTAGTCAAAATATTCGGATTCGACCACCAATATCGAAAGTACAGTCACCTACTGATGGCCATGCATGTACTAAGTGTGCAGGATGGCCAGGCCAACATCGAATTTCTCGGGACGGGGAACGGGATGCTGATGAAAGAATTATAATAAATTTGCTATACAACTGTTCAGTAAACGTAATCCGCTAGAAGACGCAGTGGATTGGTAAGTGGTGAATTGGCGATATGAAGGCGACCCTTCGACCGAAAGACTCGCTTTGTTGGCGTTGTTATTTCTTAACTTAATTTTTTGATGAAATTAGTTACAGAACGCGTTTTTTTAGTGCTTACAGTTGTGGATTAAAGCTTGGCTTGGGAAGTTGAAGGTCGTATTTTCTATGGATTTTCTAGTTATTGGGGACACCGGTAATAAGAAGAGTGAAAAAAGTCAAAAGAAAAAGATGGTCACATGAGATTAATCTAGCTCTTCGTAACTGAAAACATCTTGGAAACTCCCAGAAATTTCCTATTCAAGTGAGTTTTTCCTCACTTAAAGCAGTCGCTTTTTTCTTTCAAGTGATGGTATGGGCCGCATTCAGAAATTTCTGGTTTTTCCCAGGCAAATTTTTCAAAAACCCGTGTTGTCTAACAACCAAGCGCTTCGATTTAGTATCCGAAAAAATCCTGGAAACTACCAGAAATTTCTTATTGAAGTGAGTTTTTTCTTACTGAAAGCAGCCGATGTTCTCTTTCGAGTGATGTTATGCACCGCATTCCGGAATTTTTTGTTTTTTCTTGAATTTTTAGAAAACYCGAGTTGTCCAACGACCAATCGCTTCGATTTAGTATCGAAAAAAATCTTCGAAGGTCCCAGAAATTTGCTATAAATTTGAGGTTTTCCTCATTTAAAGCCGCAGATTCTCTCTTTCGGGTGATATGCTAAACAGGCTTGAGATATTTTTGGTTTTTCCTTTACAGTTTATCTTTAAACTCGTCTATCTATACCAACGGCCAATCGCTTTCCCTTAGTAACTGACAACATCCTGGAAACTCCCATAAATTTCCCAAACAAGTGAGTTTTTCTTCACTTAGAGCAGCCGATTTTCTCTTTCGAGTAATGTTATGGACCGCATTCAGGAATTTTTGGTTTTTCCGTGGCAAATTTTTGAAAAATCCGTGTTATCCAACGACCAATCGCTTCGATTTAGTATCCAAAAAAATCCTGRAAACTTCCAAAAATTTCTTATTAACTTGAAGTTTTCCTCATTTAAAGCCACATATTTTCTCTCTCAAATGGTATTCTGGGCAGGCTTGAGMGATTTTTGGTTTTTCCTGACATTTTTTTTTTAATTTGTCYACGTATACCAACGGYCAATYGCTTCCCCTTAGTAACTGAAAACTCCCAGAAATTTCCTAATYAAGTAAGTTTTTCCTCACTTCAAGCAGYCGATTTTCTCTTTCGAATGATGTTRTGKGCCGGATTGAGAGATTTTTGGTTTTTCATTGGCRAATTTTTGAAAAATYCGTGTTGACCAACGACCRCAAAGTTCATAGTTTATACAATACTGTGGTCGCAGTTTCAAAAATTAAGATTTATTTAAATGGTTGTAGATTAAATTCAATGTTTTTGGCATTTCTCTGTTGGATTTTCCTGGGAGCATAGAAAAAAGCCTGATCAAAAAGTCATACTTTTTGAAAAGCCTCGATTCAATCTTGGTAACAATTTTGTTGATTTATATTCGCATATTATGTCTTTCTCATTAACATTTTGTAGATTCCTATTGCTTTTCGCGTATATTAACGTTCGTAACAGGAGAAATTACAAGGAAACTGGAAAAACCGATATTAATCCATTAATGAAACTAAATACAGGGTGATTTAAAATTGGCGTCAATCCTCTGGATTTGTTGTCTGGCGGAAAAAAAATTGTTATTAAAAACTGAGAAATTTGCCAAAAAACTATATTAGAAAAGCGGCAACATTGTTTTTCAAGGTAATCTGCCTAATTAACATTACGTAAATACCTGTTGCTTCGTAATTATTTAAAACTCCAGTAACCATGGATGAATAGAGAAAGTGACAATAAGGTAGACAAGGATAAACGGTAAATTCAACAGGAATCGTTGAATGAC